AACCTCGTGTCTGCTTATTGATGAAAAACATTGAATTATCAATTAATGCCGAGGTTAATAGAAAGTCGGTCATGGGAATTGTTCTTACTGTTCTTATTATGCCACTCAAATTTCTCCACAGCGTACTGACAGTGGGGTCGGCTAGCCAGAGAAAAGAATTATAAAGGGCGAATATGTGGACCTTCCTTGAATACTACACCAGGCCACCTGTGCCTACCTCCTCGTCGCTCGCAGCCGATTTTTTTACAGCTGACAGTGGTTTTCTGATCACAAGAGTTTTTGAAGAGCTACAGCTCCCAGAGATATACAGAGTCTCTTCACTCTGTCTCACTAGTTGTACACATTGTTTACAAACAGAATTTCATTTTTAAATATGTGTGAGACTACAGTTTTCTGAAAATTTATGGGCGGAGATTAATTTTTATAATATCCAGGCCAAAACCGGCTGATACAAACATAAATGATGCATTGGAGAGCATTGACTTTTCCGAATTAACAAAATCTAAATCAGTTCTCTATATTGTTATTGAGAAATCACGAGGTGTTAGTTTATTCTTTGTTTAACGTTTTGTTTTCTGCCTTCTATAATTTTCATGGCAGGTTACTAAGCGAAATACAACCACAACGTTGCTGAGATATTTGCAAAACTCTGGACCGCAGGTGTCTATGGTGGGGAACGAACGCGCTATTATCCTTTCCGGGGAGTAACGCGTTCATCACCACGCCATGCGGGTCCTTTGTTTCGCACGACTCTCAGCTATTTCTATCGATCTTTTGGCCACAGCAATCACCCGTCCGCGGGGTTGATCTGGGGAGCGCAAATCGGCATAGAACCCAGTTAAGCTATGGCTGTAGTTGAAATCACAATGTTTAACGTTTTGTTTTCTGCCTTCTATAATTTTCATGGCAGGTTACTAAGCGAAATACAACCACAACGTTGCTGAGATATTTGCAAAACTCTGGACCGCAGGTGTCTATGGTGGGGAACGAACGCGCTATTATCCTTTCCGGGGAGTAACGCGTTCACCACACCATGCGGGTCCTTTGTTCCGCACCCCGCGGACGGGTGATTGCTGTGGTCAAAAGATCGATAGAAATAGCTGAGAGTCGTGCGAAACAAAGTACCCGCATGGTGTGGTGGTGAACGCGTTACTCCCCGGAAAGGGTAATAGCGCGTTCGTTCCCCACCATAGACACCTGCGGTCCAGAGTTTTGCAAATATCTCAGCAACGTTGTAGTTTATTCTTTGTTCCGTTAATGCTGACGTTTCGGCAGTATTGCTTTCTTCAGAGCCTGGAAGGGTATACTGGTAGGCAATTTATCACACCAAATGCTTCAATAACACGAGCAGAAAGATGAAAATGTAAGCGGCAATGACGCGATCTACAGCTTCTCGAAGAACCCACCGTTTTTTTTACGTGCCTTCAACTAAGAGAGAACAGCTGATTAGAGTCGCTTTTGGTTGCTCTTCGCAGAAGATACCAAAACACAAGTGCAAAAACTTCTTGAGACTTTTTGGTTAGGCGCCAAGAACCTTAGAATGAACAGAAGAGAGGAATGCCCAGAAATCACGCGTAATCTCGGCCCGTACTTTCGCATTGACTTTTGATGTGGAGCAGTGCACGTAATCAACGGTAGTTTTTCCAAGAAGCCGTTGATCGTGTGATTAGCATTCGGCTTTCCATTTTTCTTTTTGTGTTATTGAAAGGTTTGCCTTAGTAAATAGTATACCAGTAAACCCTTCCAGGCTCTGAAGAAGCCGATACTGCTGAAACGTCAGCTTCAAGGGAATAAAGAACAAAGTAACACCTCGTCTTTGCTCAACAGGCATATCGAGAGCTATTTGATTAATGCCGGGCTTAACAGAAAGTCGGTCGTGGGAAATCCAGATTGCTCGCTTGCCTTTATAATACAAGCTTTGATGTGTGAACGTAAAAGAAACACGTGTGATGGGCGCGGTAGTCGAAGACTTGTACAGTGTAATGGTTTTCCTAAGCGCGCGTGTGTGGATTCCAGTGGTTGGAGGCGATTCCATCCCCGCTCCCATGGCCCACCAAGCCTTTCATCCCTTCGAAAGGGCAAGTTGGTACCAGACTTGCATGGGAGGATAGCAGCACTGACTCGATACATCGGTAGGCCACCTCGGGTCATTGTAAAGACCAGATTTGCATTCAATCACCTCCAAAGCTCCAACGTTACTTAATGAAGTCGAAGGCATGGCGCACTCTCAGGGATTGATAGGCCCCCGAGAGCTTTATCCTTTATCCTTCTAATGGTTTTTCTTCCAATATGTAAGTTTGAAATGAATTGAGACGTGCTGATTAAAAGATATGTCTGCCCATTATTATCGTATCAAATGAGTTGTAGTCAATGAATCTGAGGAATAAAGTGGGAAATGCGCATTTCATGAAAAACGGAAGAAAAAAAAGAAACAATTTGCTGAAAGATTGAAATATCTTTATACTACGAAAATGATGTTCTAAATTACCATAATCCAATTCAAACACACAGAACAACACAACACTGAAAGTTTCAGTTTAAGTGTGGTATTGTTGGGCTTAAAAAGGACAGCGTTTTTTCGGTTGATCAGTTTTGTGGAACCATCAACCAGCATACCTGTACTGAGTACCATATTGGTAAGGACTATATGATCTAGCACTAGAGGCGTGACCAGGATAGCTATAGCCTGTGTAAGTTCTAGCGCCGTGCGCATAAGGCGAACGATACTGTTGCGTACCAGCATACGGGAGAGCAGGGTTATACTGCCTAGCAGCGTACTGGGCACGAGGATTATTTCTATTAATGAAATCGGCGGCAGAACGAAACACATGTGTGGCAATTATTTTAAGTGTATCAATCAGGTATGGATGACTAAGCACATCAAGTGGATCCCATGAAAATGAGAACATTTCAGACAGTTGTCGCTTCTCTCGTGACACTCTGAAAGTAGTTGTTTTTTACCAATACAAATATTTCATTACATAAACACTAAGTTACTCTTTCTGCACTTATAATGATGAGTCATCAATCAAATGCAGTAGAACGTTTCCGACTCTTATAGTTCACAGATGTCAGTTTGGGCAAAGTCTTTTCATGTATTGCCCACAGGTGCGAAAAATGCATTCACTTATGCTAACTTTTTCTTTGTCGCCTACTTCAATTTTTCACAGCACGGTATGATGCGAAATACATCTGCAATGATGCTGAGATATTTACAGAACTCTGAACTGGGTTCAATGCCGATTTGGTCTTCCCAGATCAATCCCGTTGACGGGTGATTGCTGGTGGCGCTGATCGGTAGAACTAGCTAAGAGACAAGCAGAACGAAGGACCGGCACGGTGTGGCGATGAACGCTCTAGCACCCGGAAAAAGTAATAACACGTTCGTTCGCATACACCTGCGGTTTTGCAAATATCTCAGCATCATTGTGGTTTTATCCACTTATATCAATCAAATAAACAAAAACATGGGATAACTATGGCTCTCTTCGTTAGGGAAGGACCATGAGATTCGAAATTAATGTGGTTCTATTCTAATCGCTTTGTTACTTTTTACAGGTTTGCATTTATACGGTTTAAAGAAGACGAGGTCGTTTAAAATAAACCTGGAACACTTGGGAATACAGAAAGCATGTTAATGAAGAAAGGAAACGAGAACATATCTTAAACTGAGCTGGAAAGAAAAGGAAAGCATAGCAAAACGAGAAATATCAGCTTGACATAATGAGATACACGAACAAAATGTACGATTGGTTCACATGAGTTGAACCTTCCCTGTCCCCAGACAAAATTTTTATTAAGCTCGCCACTGGTCAATAAATCAATATTTTCTTATTGAAATGAAGCGAAGTTGTTTACGAAAACTTTGACACAACTGCCATCCACATGTGTCGAATAACTCTAAAATGAATGCCAACCGCGAAGTTCCTATACCACACGAGTGAACATGTATGACTCGCCGACTTGGAAGTATATGAAGCTTTCGAAAAATTGCCTAAATTGTAGAACGTTTAAATTGCCCAGGAAGTATTTCGGATTTCGCACAAGTTAAAGAGTCGGACAGTGGGACAACGACTGGCACCAAACCTTGCCACTGACTTTATTTCTAAGGTGATAGCTCTAGTAATCGATCTCCTGCCATTAATCTCCAGCAGACATCAATTATTGTTTTTCATTTGGTGTTTACAAAGAGGGATAGAAAATGGTTTGAGCTTCTGGATGAACACTTTGTTGTACTTCGAATTCAGAGGACAGACATCGAAAGCAAACTGGCTCGCATTTTTTTCATTCATTTACAATAGCCTCTCCAAAAACGGCCACATACCAAGTGGTACCGAACACCAGACAACTAAAAAAATACTCATTGCCTCTCCACTCGCAGCTCAAACACAAAAGGGTCCCTTGTAAGAAACGTGTTTCGAACAGGCAGGAGTGGTGCGTAGAGAAAGAGAGCGGAACGAAGAATCGTTTAAATCGGCGCAGTAACTAGCCATTTTAAATGGTTTTGAAACGACAGATGGTCGTGATAGACTTAGAAGAAAAAGAATGCACCTCAACGACACTCCCAGCGAAAAAAATATTTCATTTAGCCGGCTCCTCGTTTCCAAAGCAAGCACAGCTATAAACCGACGCTTAAAAAGAGTCGCTCCGGAGAAATCGGTAGCAGTGATTGAAATACAACAGAGCACTCCAAAACGTCAGCTACTTCGCAACTCTCGAGTGGCCGCCTGTGTATGGCACAAAATTGCATAATTTGATAAAAAGGCGCAGATGGCGCTTCATGAGTACGAGTAGGGTGTGCCTGATTTCTCGTAAAGCGTGTTCGGAAGAATATGTTTGCGAATCGAGTAGATCACTCTTTCTCTGCACAAATAAGTCCCTAATTAGAAAATAGACTGAAATAAACCTCCCAACGGCTTACCGCCTAGTCGCGGGTGGAAGGTGTCCTTAAATGTCGGGCTGCGATGTGGAGCGGGGCATTCATCGCACTAGTAGGGTCTCCCAAGCCGAGGAAACCACTCTTCTATTCGGAAACCCAGCTAAGAACAAACCAGTATCAGGATCTACCACCGTTCTGGTAACGAACTACTCGCATGATGACAAATCATCCTCTGATCCACAAGGTCTGCGACAGCCTGCGGTGGTGACGACCTGGGGCAGACTTTGGCTAGACTGGCCTCGCGACTCTAGGTAACCACAATGGCTATACTAGCAAAGATCCGAAAAAATGGAAATAATGCAGCGCCCGCATAGGCAGTGAAGACGGGCCATCCAAGTATCTAAGCAAAGCATAACAAAACCCTTCACTAGTTACATGAAAACCTATGTGAAAAGATTTTAAAATAGAAATCGTCGTCCACATAGAGCAAGCAAAAACATCAGCGCGTAAAACCTTTAAGGCATAATGGACAAATTCCAAGTGTCCAGCAATGAACTGTAGACAAGACCGCTCCGTTAATCACACGCGACTTCGCTGCATACTTCAGGTCGATTTTTTAACTTGAGCCCACACCCAATCACATATGTAAATTTCCTGTGGCTGGTGTTCATGAATAAGTTCAAGGACCTGCTAAAAACAAAGGAATGAGGTGAGGAATAAGGAATGACAATATACTGACAATGACAATAAGGAATGACATTATACTTCCATGCGATTTCTGTGCGGTTGGTCTCTACGTGACATACTTAGTGGAAACCTCATAGGAAGCGGCTCTGAGAAAGGCGAAATCCGCCGAAACGTCAGCTTAATCGTGAACAAAGAATAGTAACACCTCGCGTTTGCTCAACAAAAATACGAAAAAAATTACTTGATCAATGCCGAGGTTAATAGAAAGTCGGTCGTGGCAGTTACAAAGGAATGAGTTTTGAGAGAAGCTGTTTACAATATTTTACTTTTTATTTTCCGCCAACTATGATTTTTATGGCAGGGTATTAAGCGAAATACTACCACAATATTTCTGAGATATTTGCAAAACTCCTGACCGCAGGTGTCTGCGGTGGGGAACGAACGCGCTCTATTGTCCTTCCCGGGGAGTAACGCTCTCACCACCACACCATGCGGGTCCTACGCTTCGCCTGTCTCTCGGCTGGTTCTTTTATCACCAATAATCCAGATCAATCCCGCTGACGGGTTACTGCTGATGGCAAAAGATCGATAAAACTACCTGAGAGACAGACGAAACGAACGGTCAAGCTGTTTAGTTTGAGAATGGAATTTATGTGTTTTGCTTTCTTACTGTTGAGGTTGATGAAATGTCTGAATGAGCAAATTCCATGGCAATTTGGCTGTTCGGGCTCTTCCAGAAGGCGACACTTCAAAAGCGTTAGCCAGTGTTGAATGGTGTTTCTACTAGAAACATCGTATCTGTTCAAAAGAAAAACGCTTATTTACCAAAATTAAAGAGAACTTTTTTCAATACTTGAACGGCTAATATGCAAAAGTTGTCAACTACCAAGTCTGCAGCAGATTTCGTCAAACTCTTCCTGACATTTCGAAACCGACTTTCTTTGAACCTCGGTATCACTAATCGATATGTATTCTTTCTTTCATCTTCTCGAAGATGGCTCACTGAGGAAGACCTAACCCGACACGAAGGCGAAGCTGCAACGTCGAGACGAACAACAAGCATGGACCATCGACTCTGATCATCGGCTCTGAGGAAGACGAAGACGTCGAAACGCTAGCCGAAAATAAATAAATATCATTATCAACTTCGTGTAAGCTCATCAAAAAATGAATATATCTTCCTGACATGATTGTGGTCTCCTATAGTTGTCTGTTACCAGCACTGTTATTCTTGTTCCATTCCTCACAACCGCCGTCACATATATCGTTCTGATCCCAGCCCTTCTTGTCCTTGATCCTTTTTCATACAACAATCATCTACGAAGATCTTCCAGCCATCCGCGTTTATATACAGCTGCTGCATAGGACTGCATGACGTATTCACATGTCATTCTTCTATCCATAAATCATTTAATGCAGTATGAAAAGTTAGCTGATGTGAGACATGAATAGATTCGCTTATCTAGCTGCGTTCTTCCCAGAGAACGCTTGCATCACTGTGTATTCCACTCTGAGCACACTCTGTTGTCTTTGTTTTTGTTATGCTCTTCTTAACAAATGGTCGGCTTGTAAATGTGTCTCGTAGAGAACGCACTGTAATGAATCTCGAAAACAAGATAATTTTCGTAGATCCGAACTAACAGTCCGGCTTCGTGCTATGTGTACCTCACTTCTTCAGACAATGCTGATCAAGCCCCTCCGTGCGTAACGCATAAAAGTATCTACGCATTGCGTTTCATCTGCATAGCTGGGCACTTTAAAGATGGTTGCATTGAAAATTTTAAGGAGAAGTTTCCCATCCGTGAGTTCATCGGTGTCCCGTTTCAGGGGCACAAATGCGGCTCATGCGTTCCCTGCTCTTCTAAATGACTTCTACATTATTGTCATCTACCATCTCTGTTCTTCTAGAATACGTAAGATGCAGAATCTATAATGAAGAATCCATTCATTACGACCTGTTTGCCGCTGAGTTTCTAATAAATCGAGTTCCCTTCTGGTTTATGTGCAATATGCATTAGTTTCCCGATAAGTTTATTTATAACAGATTGATACTAACGCCTCGGCCGTTTCTCCTTCTTCAGAGCGGCGATGAGTCAAGTCGATTCTCTTTTGCAATTTTTCTCCTTAAGAAACAGGTCTTTATAGCAGTTACATCGAGTTGATCCGACCGTAGTAGAGCACCCCACGAATACCTCTCGCCTACTGGTGAGCTGGAAAAGATGGCAAGACGTCTCCAAGGAGGTTTGGTGAAAGCCTTTCATTAGAGATGGTGTCCGGCGGTCGTACCCGTTGGAATGAAAGATTTCCATTTTTATGGTGCAGGATTCAGCTAGAGTTTGAACG